TTCTCTCCATTTATTGTGATGCTGCTTATTGGTCCAGTTGTGAGGATTTTTGTTTTCTTTATATTAAGGTGTAATCCATACTGCAGACTGTAGTCTTCAGTTTTCATCAGTAAGTGCTTCAAGTCATCCTCACTATTAGCAAGCAGTGTTATGTCATCTGTGTATTGCAGGTTGTTAATGAGCCTTCCTCCAATCCTGATGCCATCTTCTCTTCATATACTCCAGCTTCTTGGATTATTTGCTCAGCATACAGATTGAATAGGTATGATGAAAGGATACAACCCTGATGCACTCCCTTCCTGATTTTAAACCATGCAGTGTCCCCTTGTTCTTTTCAAACAACAACCTCATGTTCTATGTACAGGTTCCTCACGAGTACAATCAAGTGTTCTGGAATTCTCATCCTTCTCAATGTCATTCATAATTTGTTATGATCCACACAATAGAATGCTTTTGCAGTCAATAAAACCCAAATATACATCTTTCTGGAATTCTTTGCTTACAGCCAAGATCCATCTGACATCAGCAATGATATCCCTCATTCCACGTCCTCTTCTGAATACGCCTTGCACTTCTGGACGTAAAACCATTTTTTAATTATTTTCAGTAAGATTTTACTTGCATGTGGTATTAATGATATTGTTCAATAATTTCCACTTTCGGTGGAACGAGCTAGGGAAGGCCAGGAAAGGAAGTGGAAGCCAGAGGCAGGCCAGAACAGTTAGGGAGGCCAGGAAGTAAGCAGAATGGTTTGGAACACCTAAGAGAGACGAACTTGTCTGTCAGTTTATCTTACTGTGGTAGCTTGTGTGTTGCTGTGAGGGTGGAGGCTATGCCACTGGTGTTTCAAATGCCAAGTGAATTGTTACCATTTCTAATTAGAAAACACAATTAGGCTTTACATGTCTGTTCTCAAGTTTATGCTCTGTTACTACAGCAAATTATTCTCAAATGTGTCATGTGTCTCCATACTAAAAGTAGTGTTCTTGTTTTATTAGTAATAAATACATAAAAAAACAGCACAGAATAAGTGCTCTTTTAGTGTTGTGATTTCTTCCATTTTCTTTAACCAGTTTTATACTTTTTCCATAGACAGAAAGATAAAGATATTTCTTGTCATCTGATTCCTTGTATCACTTTTTGCTTGTTCCATGAATCAGTTTCAGAGTCTTTCATGTTTATATATAAATCTTACATATATATAATGCATGTGTATGTATATTAAATTGTAAGTATAACATGCCTGCACACATACACACACACATGTACCTTTTAAATGACTTTAACTTTGGCCTTTCTTAAAGTTCTAATTGATTATTTATAATATACAATATCTTGGGAATTTTTTCCCACATAGTTATGGTGTTATGGATGTGAAATTCTGGTGATTTAATTCATCACTTAAATATATGCATAGTTGTTCTCTATTCATTTAAATATTATAATTAAATCATTTTTTTCTCTGTTTCTAGCTGTCCCCTTTCCTCCAACCCAGCGGCTTACTTTGAAGGAAGTATTTGAAAATGGGAAACCTAGAATTGACGTTTTAAAAAACCATTTGGTGAAGGAAGGCCGACTGGAAGAGGAAGTAGCCTTGAAGATAATCAATGATGGGGCTGCCATCCTGAGGCAGGAGAAGACTATGATAGAAGTAGATGCTCCAATCACAGGTATGAGAAGTTTTTGCATGATGGCACATATATTTTGAGCTAATTTTGAAAAATGTATACAAATAACCAACTAAAACAAGATAGTCTTTGGATTGCTTAGTATGCTTGTTATTGGTTAAACAAATAAAATTTGTCAAAGTCTAATATTTCTAGCAGGAGCCCCGGTAATGCAGTGGTTAAGAACTTGGCTGCTAAACGAGAGCTCAGCAATTCAAACCCTGTAGCCACTCCATGGGAGAAAGATGTGGCAGTCTGCTTTTGTAAAGATTACAACCTTAGAAATTCTATGGGGCAGTTCTTCTCTGTCCTACAGGGTCACTATGAGTTGGAATCAATTTGACAGCAGTGGATTTTTCAGTTTTACTATTTCTAGAACTATTTGACATAAGTGCAACATATACTACAGTTAGAGCGAAGCCTGGTCAAAACTGATTTAAGTTAAAAGTTAAACTGTGATCTCTGTTGGTGTAATGCCCCCGCCCCCGGGTGTTTTCCTAAAACATACATTTTCACCTTACTCTGTGTCCTTTTTTTCCTAGTGTGTGGTGACATTCATGGACAGTTCTTTGATCTTATGAAATTGTTTGAAGTTGGAGGATCACCTAGTAACACACGCTACCTCTTTCTGGGTGACTATGTGGACAGAGGCTATTTCAGTATAGAGGTAAAAATTAAACTGAACATAGAGTGCTTTTAAAAAGTTTTGCTTTCCATTCTTTAGTAGAAGAAATCAAAATGCGAACACTGGCAGAATTTGTAAACCTAGCTGTTTTCAACAATTAAAGTGACAGAATTGTTTAATTTATATAAGAAGTCTATTCCTTTTTTTTTTTTTAAACTAAAAGAAAGTCTAATATATGGAAGGTTATGTTAATGCAGTTTTGCACATAAGTTAAATGTTTATTAATCCTTCCTCCTTGAAGATAGTTTACAGGCTATATATAAATGAAATAAATTGTTATTCACTCTAAATGAGAGTTGTATTAGCTGATGTTAATTGAGGACTTGGAACCAGTTCTTCCTGGTACAGTCATGGCCAATGAAGTGAAACTGGAATGGTCCTGAGTTTGTGAAATGTGGATAAACCAGAATGGTAGCTGGAATGGGAAAAGTTTGGGGTTTATAGCCTGTTAGAAACTTAATCTCCCTCTTAGAAAACAAGGGCAGCATGCTTGTTGCACAGCAACCAAATCTCTGAATCAATAGAGTCGGAAACAGTGGTGCCTGGCTCAAAGATGGCAGCCAATCATACCACTTTGAATGTGTGTCCCTCTCCTCAGTCCTAGCTATAATCCAGTCTCTTGCGTCAGGATCCTGAAAGGACTGTATGCCTGTTCTCAGTTGCCCGTTACAGAGCTTTGACCTGTAATTTTTCTGTTCCAATTATTGTTCCACTTGACCAAAATTTTAAAAATTTGGTCTGTTCTGATTTTGCTTCATCAGCCATGACTGAACTGGTTCAAACTAGTCCAAAGCCCTATTCATTGTGAAACCATAAGCTACTGAGCTACAATGAACTCTTGGGTTAATTGCCAAGAGTTAAATAAACAGGTGATTCACTTATAAGGCGCTCTGGTGGTGTAGTGGTTAAGGCATTTGGCTGCTAACCAAAAAGTTTGGTGGTTTGAACCCACCAGCTGCTCTGCAGAAGAAAGATGAGGCAGTCTGTAAATATTTACAGCTCAGAAATCCAATGAGTGTTGCTACAAGTTGTAGTTGACTTGAAGGCAGTGAGTTTGCTTGGTTTGGTAGCTTATTGTAGGAATAATCTCTGGTACTATAACACAGAGTAAGCAGTTAATAAGTGTTTGTTGGAGGAAAAATGAACAATAGTTAAGTATTGAAAACTCACAATTTAGTTTTAAATATTTTGAAAATGATGAGAGGAAAAGGAAAAGATTTTATAATTAAAAACAAAGTATAAGCCTTTATGTGCAAATGATAAAACTATTTTAGAACCTAATGAAGGACTTGAGTACAGTGGAACATATGTATATTTAATGTATATGTATATTTAATGTCCACTGATTCAACTGTATATACTTGGCAAATAAAAGAGAAATAACTTGAAATAATGCAGATAGTCTAATTTGTAATGAATATGTACCTCAAAATAAGCATGAGATGAGAAATTGAATATGCTTGCTGTTGTTTAGTCTTTTGTCCAGCCTGCCCTTCATAGTGTGATACTCACTGTACTGAGTGAATTTCTGGCGGTTAAAGGTTTATTGTTCATCCAGCTTCACTTCTAAATACAAGTCAATCATCAACAAAAGAATCAGCAATTGTTCTAAAGCTGGAGGAAAAATCAAAGACAAGAGAAATAAACCCTACTTTTTAGTTAGATAGGCAATCTAAATTTATGAACCAGAAAAACTCAATGTATCTGAAAGTGCCTCAAATTCAGTTAGTGTCAAATGTGAGAAGAAAAAGTTAATGAGAAAATAAGCATATTTTCCCTGATGCTCATTTTAATTGCTCTCATTAAATTACCAAGATCTCTCAAAAGATACTTGGAATGTGTAAATATCATACTTACAAACTATATCATTGATAAGCTTCCATATTCCTGTTCACTTCATGTTTCAATAAAACCAAAAAACAAACTCACTGCCATAAAGTCAATTCCAACTTAGAGCAACTCCCTTTGGGTTTCTGAGGCTGTAAATCTTTATGGAAGTAGATTTCCAGTATTCCTTCTGCGGAGTGGCTGATGGGTTTGAACCACCAACCTCCTGGTTAGCAGTCAAGTGCCTTAGGCACTACATCACCAGAGCTCCTTTCATGTTTCAAAAGAGAGTCAAAATTACAGATGTTTGAAAGACACGTTGAATGATACTTCTTTGTGTATTTGATTCTGCTAGCATGAGGAAGTTGTAGAGGCTGAAGAGCAGAATATGGGAATTTCCTGATTTTTTTTTTACTTTATTTAATGAAGCAAATTTTATTAAATGAGACAACTTCCTAAAATGATAAATATCATGCCAAATTATATTCTTCTTTTTTAATGATATTTTATTGTGTTTTTGGTGAAGGCTTACACAGCAGCTTAGTTTCCTATCAACAATTTCTACACAAATTGCTCAGTGAAACTGGTTATATTCTTTTCAAAGTGTGAATATTCTCATTTCCATTCTGGTTGTTCCATTTCCATTAATCTAGTTTCCCTTTCCCCTTACCTTCTTATCTTTGTTTTATAGTTGATGGTTTGGTCTTATATAGATAATTTTTTAAAGGAGCATAGTACTCAGAGGTGATATTCTTTGTTTTGTGAGCCAATCTGTTATTTAACTAACAAGTGAAATTGAAGGCTTGTTTTAGTTCAAAGTTTAAAGATTATCTCAGGACAGTAGTCTCAGAGAGTACTCCAGTCTCAACCAGTCCAACAAGTCTGAATATTTTAAGAATTTGAGGTTTTGATCTACATTTTCCTCCCATTCTATGAGGATCCATCATTGTGGTACTGATCAGAATGGCTGGTTGTGGAACCTGTACCTTGACCAGGAAACTGTCATTCGAATGGAACAAGGGGACACTGCATGGTTTAAAATCAGGAAGG